AAAAAAAAAAAAAAAAAAACCCTCAAGCGAGTGTATCAACTTTTTTTGTGAATTAGAGGACATTTTTTCAAATCGTGCCGTTTCTATTCACCTTTTCTAATGAGATACTTGAAAATGCGCATTGATAAACTTTAATGGAAACACGGTCACAGATCCGATGCCGTAGGCTGGCGTAGTGCTGACTTTGGGGACCACCCAGCTGTGGGGATTCTTTAGTCAAAACAAACTATAGCAGGACTCATTTCAGATTGAAACTGTTTTTTTTTTTCTTTCTTGAGACCTGTGAGCTCCTTGCTGCAGGTTGAGAAAATCAATACAAACTTTATCGGCACAAAGCCTGGCTAAGAGAGTATGCAGCAACGGTTACAACTGCAATGAGTAGTGTTATTTTGAACCTTAAAACCCTAAAAAGATGCATTTTGATTTGTGCAACATAATGTTCCCAGAACTCTGACTSGTGCTTAATCATGTTGGTCATGTGCCCTCTTTCACACGATATCTTATTATTTTATTATTAAGCCACACTTTAGATCATCGCTGCACGCTGTTTATTTGCGCACACAAATAGCTGTGGATTCTTCTTCCAGTTGGTGAACTGGGCAACAAAACTAAGAATCAAAATCATAAAATTCAATTGATTCCGGTGGAATCTAAATGTTAGTCCCAGTTCCAATTGATACTTGAGACTCTGTGCCCAACCCTAACTGGAGCAGGGCGGGTCCATGTGTGTTTTAGTTGTGCTGCACTTCACTTCTACACCTTTCTTTAACACAACTTTAGATTGTGATCCTTTAGATTATTCTTATCAAAAACGCGTCACAAAAGCCTGACACGACCATCAAAACATAATTTCGGCTCAGAATCTAAATCTATACTCTACATGAGTGACAGCAACACAAAGTTCTGATTAATGTGCTCTAAARGTGTGGTAATAGAGCGACGTCTGAACTGTCACATGGAACGAGCTGTTCGGCTGTTTGGGGGTCCTGTCTTCTGAAAGAACCCAACATCTGAAGTAGGCCTGTCACGATAACAAATTTTGCTGGGCGATTAATTGTCTCAAAATTTATTGCGATAAACGATAATATTGTCTGGTGACCGTTTTACAACTAATAATTATAAAAGCGTAATGTGTAAGTGTAA